GCGCTGGCGCTGGCGCTGGCGCTGGCGCTGGCGCTGGTGCTGGTGCTGCTGGTGGTGGTCGTCGTCGTCGTGGTCGTGGTCGTGGTCGTGGTCGTGGTCGTGGTCGTGGTCGTGGCCATCACGGCACTCTTGGCGGCGATGGGCTAGTATAGGGGCCATGCAGAACACTGTGTCACGGCTTGCTGCATACACCAATATGAAAACGGTTATAGACTATATGTATATTTTGAAGATGCTGCATGCCAGCACCCTTCCTTTTCAGCTGGTTCCGTCTCTGCCCCATCAGATGGGATACACATAAGTTTGAACTAGCAGACCCGGACATTGACCCTATACATCCTTGCTACATCGGCGGCACAGATAAATCATCTCTTGAATGGAGGACCGCTATCAACACCCCAAACGAAACCTTGTTTTTTTAATTCCAAATAAGGGGCTCCTAACTATTTCAGAAGCCCTGCATACCGTCCTACAGGGTCTCCTCTCCTTGTACGGCTTCAACACCTACAGGCCGAAAGTGTTCTTGAAAAAGGTTTGTCTCGCATAGGCATTAACGAATCTTGGTTCAAGGGTATTTTGCAGCGGGAGTGTGGTGGGATATGTCAGGAGTATGCAAGGTTCTCGGATCCCGGATCTTCCCAACTCCGTGGAGAGGGCATGAGAGGAGGGACTGCTTGCCAAGCCTTTCACCCGTTTGCAGCTCAGGCAATTTACTGCACGCTTTCGGGGTTCCTGTTACAAGTCCAGGGCTGGTGGATTTAGGAAGAACGCAGCTGGGGCCGTTGAGCCGCCGAACCAACAGGCCATGCGCCAGACATCGCCAGACTCTGATATCCCCAAAACCTTGACTGCTTTCACATCCCAAGCTTCCGGAGCCCGATGTCAAAGAAGAAGCCAGAAAAAGGAACCACCAGGCACTGAACTTTAGCCCTCCAGCCACATCGCTTGAGACTTCGCCCGGCATCAGCAGTAGTAGTCAACACGTCGGGTCTTAGGCCCAGGAGTTTGTGGCAAAGTGTGTTGATTTCCTCAGAACACTGAAGCACGCGTATGTATGTATGTATGTAT